ATAAATATGGTTTTGTTATCTTACTGCGCATATCCGTGTAATAAGTTTAACTTCACTACTACTAACTGTTTACTAATTGCAGTCGAAATAAAAGGCCCTAGGTCCTCCAGGTATGGTATATTCATAGATATAAGAAAGTCACTAATTGCTTTTGAATGGGATTATCCAAGGGTGGTCGTTAACATACAATGCAACAAGATTATTACCTAAAGTTTCGGAATTTAAATTCAGGTAAAATTGTGGTACGTAATAGAAAAACATTTTACACCTACTTGTGTTTAATATTCTTTGGTTTGGAATACTACTTAGTTTAAGTTTGTTGTGTATAAGTGTTGAATCTTGTGCGAATTATGCAAAACATGCAAAAAAGTGTATCTCTGGAGATGCTCCCGCCCAAATGAAGAAAACACTATTCTATTGAGACTAAGGAAGTTATAAAAAATGTTTATTTGACACTCGTTGAACGTGCAAGCAAGCATCTTTAGAAGAAACGGCCAAATTGACGAAAATTCCAACATCAACTGTATGAAAAATTGTGAATAATCCCAATTGAGCTAGGAAAAAAAGAAGCGATGCTGACATTTTCTCGAGTGTAGATGAAAGTGATCAAGATATAATACCGCGTAAAATTTAACAGTTATATGAGGAACAAAGAGCGCCTACATTAGATATCTTAATTAGGAGGTTTGAAATAGATGAAACCGGTGTTAAATGTGGCAGAACTACCTTATGGAAGTGTATTCAACACATGGGTTTTAGATTTTAAAAAATTGACAAAAGGCAAGTTTTAATAGAATCTTTTAGAATTCGGAAATGGCCACTGGAATATCTAGAAAAAATTAGGATTTACAGAGGCAACAAAGGTCAATTATTTACTTGGATGAAACCTGATTCGACACTTATGATACCCCGGAAAAGGGTTGGGTTGACTCAACTGATAAGTGTAAAACAAACGCGCCATCAAAAAGAGGTAAAAGAATAACTGTTTTGCATGCTGGCTCTAAAGATCGTTGGATTCCAAATGGACTTTCTCTGTCTGCGAAAAATATTAAAGATTCTTCTCTGGATTACCATGAAGACAATACCTCTGATTTATTTGAAAGTTGGTTTAAAAACAAACTCGTTCCAAACATTCCTCCTAATAGCGTCATTGTAATGGACAATGCAAGTTATCACAGTAGGCAGTTGACTAAAACCCTTTCCTCATGTGACACAAAAGCAACAATCCAAAACTACATTTATAATAACGACATTTATTCTCACGAAGATTATACCAAGAAGCAATTAATTGAGGTTCTACAAAGCTTGAACCTACAAGAGGAATACGTGTAAAAAATCTAGGACATACAGTTTTAAGGCCACCGTACCACTGTATATTTAATCCCATTGAACATGTTTGGCAGCAACTGAAATTTGCCATTCGTCGTAACAATGTTTTTCCCCGTGTTAACTCCAATGTCCTCAAACTTATAGAAACCGAAGTTTTTAACATCCTTTTTTGTAAATTTTGCAAATTCTGTTAAACATATAGAAAGAGCAGAACAATCGTATATCCATATTGCAAATAATATAGAACAAATAATAATTAGAACAGGCGATGCTGGCGATAATGATAGTGATATATTATGTGAATAATTTTAAGTAATTTAAATAGGTAATAAAAATAATTTGTAATTTTATTTTACAGTGAAACATAAATACATAAATAAATAAATAAATATTGTTTAGTATCTTTCCTATCAAAACCCCAAATAATTAAATTCTAAGCAAAGTACGGACCTGTTCGGCCATATTTCATTCTTACAGCTTGCCCGGGACTTTCCTTAATTCATATCAGTTAGTTTCTTTAGTTAGTTTCTTATATCTATGAACCGACTTTACCACAAAAACCGCCCAATTGCTTATTCCATCACTAGCGCACCCAGTTATTAATGTCCCTAATTTTGGAACTATCAGTTATATACTGATTAAATGGTTCTCAATCAACTCAAATGTAATACTATATATTTTGGTTTCAAGTTAAAATTTAATACCAAACATTTACTTTTTACTATAGTTGTCAAATAAAAAAATGTGTCAGATATTTTGGTTTTGTTCTTTAATAGAATAAATTTCGCTCACATAACAGTGTGTGGTAAACAGTTGTAAAAAATACAGTTTTCATCCACATAAGCATATTGTTAACGTTGACAGAGACAAGTTTTTTAAAACACGAAAAAAATTGCAGCTTTTAAAGCAGTTATTATCGAATAAAAAATTTTCCTCAATAGTAATACCATATATTTTGGTTTAAATTGAAAATTTAATTCCAAATATTTACATTTTACTATAGTTGTAAAATATAAAAATGTATCAGATATTTTAGTTTTGTTCTTTAATAAAATGAATGCAGCGGGTACATAATTTTCGCTCATATAACAATGTATGATAAACAGTTGCAAAAAACACTGGCCAGTTTTCATCCTGAGACAACTTTTAAAGCAGTTATAATCGAATAAAAAATTTTCTTCTTTTTTTTTCTTTCGTTTGCTTTAAATGTTTTTCAAAATTTGAGGATTTTTTTTGTCATGGCAAATCTTGGAAATGCTCCTCCTAGATAATATTAATAATATTTTAAACGCTGTATTAATTTATCCATTGAACCTATAATGTGCATATTTAAAAATATAAATTTTTGGTCTGTTTTATTTATTCCAGATCTTTAAATAGGAAGAGCATGTAAAACAATGCTGTATAAATCAGTAGAAGAGTTCTAAAACCCAGTAAATTGTTGGAAAGTATAAAAATCGCCCAGAAGCGGTAGTCAAATGAAGGAAAGGCACCTTTCCCTCCTGCTGATTATATTAGTAGGCCCATATATTATTCCAACAATTATCGCACTTTCATACACACGCTCCTGACATAGGTAAACAAATCTATCAATGCGCCTAGAAATTTGCACGCATTGAATTATGTTTTATAACATTTATGGAAATCGTACGACATGTCCGCACTTTTTCGAGAAATCAGATGTGGAAAGCCAAATCCGATTTGTAATCAGACGAGGAAATGTTGAACTAAACCGCAACAGTAAATCATCTAGAATCCACGCCTGGTTGTCATCGACTTTCGTACAAAAGGTGAATATTTCCGACACAAAGAGACAACAACCGGCGCACGATCGACATAATTGGGGAAAAAATATCGTGATCGACGGACCGTACGAAAGATTTACGCAGTTACACGGAGCTGTGACTTGTCGCAGTTATAACATCATATAGAAACAAATTTTTGAAGTCTTGTCGCATCTCCTCGTAGATCACGATTAATAACCAAAAACTAATGAATACAAAAGGTAGAATAATTTTCATATTTAAAATTTACTATCCACTGCTAGATGAAACACATTTACACAAAATACTAGCCATCGCAAACTAGCGGTGTCGGCTAAAATTTTAGCAATGCAAAGTGCAGTCTAAATTTAAAGTTAGACTATCAGCAAGGAGCGAATTAATCCAAATATGTGTTGTTTTATTTTTTAAAATCTAATTTTACCTCCCACAGAAAATCGACAGTATTAGTACGTTATTGTTTTTTCAAATTGTATATTTTAGAAACATCGTTATGTCTCATTAAAGAAAAAAATTGTACTTTAAAAAAACTAGAAAGGAGCATGAAGATTTGAGTTCCTGCAAGGAAGTTCCACGTACCAAGAACTAGTGATAGACTTGTCCAAACTATATAGCGATTGCGATTGGGTTTCTTTTGTAACCCTCAATAAATAGATTCGCAATTCCGCAATGACGTTCCATAACCTTACTTCGGTACTTCGTGCATACAATTGCTGAAAGCTGACGGATTTGTGTAGAGTTTAATTGGGATTATTATTAATCTATGCAGTGAAGAAATCGATTCTTACTTGTAAATCCTACTCTTGAAATACAACAGTCCGCACGGCACAGTCCTTGTCGGTTAACATCCTAAATACGGCACTGGCTTGTGGTACACGTGCTGAAAATAATTTTAAAATATTTTGGAGAACTCTACTTAATAATTAGAAGTCTGGCTTTGGAAACTTTTGCTATGGGGAGGCTCGCCACCCTGCTGAAAATACATATTTAATTTCACGGCAAGAGGTATATCATCTAACGAGTCTTCAATTTCATTTCGTAGGAATTAAAAATATCGTGCTCCAGTTAAGGCACCATAAAAAAAAACAGGTCCAATAATTTGCCTTTCTATCACTGCTGCCCAAATATTGATTTCGAACCGTTCTTGAAGCTGTCCGGGATGAATAATTCTTTAATTATTTAAAGTATCTGTATATGTTTATCTAACAGTCAATTACAATATCGAAGTCTTCTTACAAATTTCGCTTCATAAAAATGTCGATGAAGCTTATATTTAAGAGAATGATAGCAGTGTTTTTGCTTCCTATCCTACGTAGAATGATCTCCTGACTCCAAAAATGTACAAAATATGGGTTGAGCCATTTAAAATTCAAAAGTTTGACCAAAAATTGTCAAAAAATTGGACATTCAGCCTATATTAACCTTTCCAAATTTCAAATCGCTATCTCAAGCCGTTTAAAAGTTGTGGAGTTGTGGAGTATTCCCCCTTGTGTCACCCAATATAGGGTTAAAAAAAAATATGTATATATATATATATATATATATATATATATATATATATATATATATATATATATATATATATATATATATATATATATATATATATATATATATATATGTATATATATATATATATATATATATATATATATATATATATATATATATATATATATATATATATATATATATATATATATATATATATATATATATATATATATATATATATAGTAGATGTAGTTTTTATTCTACCCCATCGGCAACTAAGATAATAAAACACCCTGTACATTGCGGTCTAACGATTCGAAAAGGAAATGTTGGGCAATGTGGCAACAGCGTCAGTGTCATATTATGCCCATTTCACCAAACAAATGATGATCGGACCGAATGAAGAGTAGGCCAATCGCGGAAGCAGGAGGTGAAGCGAAAGATTGGACGTTAGCTGCGGAAAACGCCAGGCCGTCAGTACTTGGGCCGCGCAATAAGTGATTCGGTACTGGCAGGCGTCGTCGGTATAGTTAAAAATTAAAAGTAATGTTTACACTTTAGCCGTAGCAGAAAAATGAAGAAGTCCGCCATGATTCGGTGATAAGTATTTACGAACTTGTTCCACTGATTTTCATTAGGAGAGCTGTTCGAAATGGAGTGGTCCTATAAATACAGAAGATTCAATTTGCCCAAAAGGTATTTCCCGGTTTAGTTTTGCTTTTAATTTTTATCGTCTCGGTGTTTGGTTTGACGCCAATTTCTGTCTCCGAATTCCAATATTACAATTTATTTTGTCAGGTGTGTGTAAGGTATTATTTAAAAAAAGATGATTTCTCAATCATTCAATTTTTATACAAAAAATACTATTATATTTCTTTGGAGCGGTTTTTGAAATATTTTTGTTCCAAGTAATCGATACATGCTGTTTTAGATAATGAAACAATAATTATAATTAGCAAAAAAATCCGGCAGACTAGTGAGTACATTTTACAAATTGTTTCTTTGTTTGTCTTGTCATGTAAAAATTACAAACTTAATACAATTTTAACTTACAGTCGATTAGTAGGCAATATATTTTAAATAAAATTTCTTGATCTCTTTGCATTAACAGAATTTTTTGCACACCCATTATTTCATACCAAAACATTTAGAAAACTGTTTTGCTTCTAACGACTTCAACCAAGAGGAATTTTTCAAGTAAACATGATTGTGGAATTCATTTCTCTTACCAAAAATATGGTACAGAGTCGTACAAAAAAGTCATAAGCGATTAAAAACTTAAAAAAACATGTAGGTATGCCCACCCACAGGTAAGAACAAGTTTAAGAACAAAATCAAATTTTTAGTGTCAAAAAATTAAATTTAATAAATAACAATAAAATTTTTACATCCTGTATCTCGGCAAAGAATTTTAGACTACATGTTTATAGTAACTTTTTACCTTAAATCTGCACACTTACCGCCCTGTAATTACTAAAACTTTTTTCTTAAAAAATATGCATATTGTTCCAGTGATGCGAAAGATAATTATATCCATATTTAACATTAATAATATGCTTGTTAATCGTACATTATACGCAAAACATCCATAATAAACCGACTAGTAATCAGTTATTAAATATTACAGAAACTTGTCCAAAAATCACCGATTTTTAAGTGAATATACTTACAATATACATTAAATTCACGACCAGGCAAACTCCCGGATAAATAAATTCGTTGATATTATAACAATTTTCTTCAGATTATATTCAGATTTAGTTATTTTGTATAAAATAGCTACAGGGCCGCCCTTGTTAATATGTCTGTATAAAGTTCGTTGCCTATGCAGCTATCGAATTCACCAAAATTCTTCAAAAATACTTCTGCTAGACAAAATTTTAAGGATTCTATGCAAATTATTAATATTATTTTAGCGTTATTAATAATTATGTAGTAGCTCAGATTGGTTTTTAATAGTTTTGGTTGTTTTACTTTTCCCATGATTTGTTTTTAGTAAATCCTTAATTGATTTAAAAATATATGCAAATCGAAGATATAAAATTACAATAATAATGCGCAATTGATATTTTTAAAGTTTTTTTTACTTTCTTTTATTTTGCAGTTCAATTTAACATTTTCCTACTTAAATACGAGTTAAATATAGAATAACAATTTATATATCTATATTACTTTTTTTAATAACTTTTACATTACGCTACATCCCAACGATTCTCGTCATAAAATTCTCACAATTGTCGAATCAGATCGGTGCTTACTCTAGCCTAGCTTTCGGTAAACAATGAATTAGCCCAATTTAATAATGTTTTGTGAAGGACGATAACGGATTTCACTGTTCTAACGGAAATATACAGGTGGTTTCGAATTAAGTGAACGTTATTGCTACAGAGTAGTGAAACTTGGAGGTTTTCATTAATTATCGTTAATCAAGAACTGTCACTTTGAGGACCTAAGTATTGAAATTTTTCTGAAAGCCCAAATGGAAAAAAAGTAAGACAGATGGTCCAAACACAAATTAGTAAAAAACAATTCAAAAATGTTCATTTTCAGTTTTGCGATTGAAAGCAATAACTTTCAGCCCAATTTGTTAAAAAAAACCTCTATGACCTTTATGTTTACGTATTGATGGATGTGTATACATATCGTTCAGGTTTATAAATAAATGTGCATATTATTCTTGTAAATCGTAAATTTGCTGAATTTCTTTTCGAGTTCTAAGAATAGAGTCTTTTCCCGAAAGCAAAATATTTGTCCGAGATTGCATATTCCACAATCAGTGTGACCCTGATCGGACTTTCTTTCCCGTCGCCGCATTAGCGTCGCGTTTTTTGGTTACAACTTTTTTTATTTGTTTTTGGTGTTCCATTACAGGTTCTGATCATTCCACGTAGCCACAATGAGCAAGTAAAGACATAATGCACGATACAAATAACAATTCTGCAACCATGGCAATGATTGATTTGTCTTTTTCTAAAGTATTATAATGCATTGATTAACACGGTTTGGGGGTGATCGGATGTTTTCATATGGGCGATAGTCGTAGTAAAAGTATAGTATGCCAACAACACGTTGATCAACTTCTTCAGTAGGTCGTTTATTGACTCGTGCCAATTGAAGTTAGTGACTAAAGTTGCATTAATCAAACTTGTTGTATTAATGCATTAGTTTGAAATAACAACCAAAACAGAAAAGGAAGGAGAAGAAAAATATTTCGAAGCAAACTTTTGAGGTCCGGCTTGCATAAATAGTGGCATTTAATTGGTTAATACATTTGGAACTATAAAATACCAGTGATATGCCACCAGTAACACACGAAAGATTTTTGACATTTGATAGTTTTGTCTGATGGTATTTGTCGTTAAACAATTTATTTCTTATAAATAATGTCTTTACGAGTTAGATAGTAAGTGGCTTAATGTATTTTTCTTTTCTCCATATTTAAACATATTTTTTAGTTAGGTAACTACTAACTAACCCAAACTACCATGCTGCATTAAGTGATTATTTTGTGAATGTTATATTGCCAAACAAAAAAGTTAATAGAATTACAGGGAGAAGCAACTTAAAATCAGTCAGAACGTCTCGTCCCCAGTTAAAAATAATAATTTTTTCGTAAGCAATAAGTTTTGCTTCATTTTTGTTAGTTTCGGTTAGTTTTGAATAATATTTTGTTGATATAGGTTGAAGGCATATATTTTTGACAAAATTCAAAGCATCTCTCTCTTACTCAGACATTTTCAAATACAAACATTCGTCTTTACTAGATTAAAGTGCGAATGATTCAAAACTGGCACGACCCGTGAAATGTTCTATTTCAGTTTCCATTAAACTAAAGGGTGAGATAGTAGAAAGGAATCGAGAAATCGCACCAAAATCAATTTTGATTTTGAGCAACTGTTGATAGTCAACGAAATTTACCTAGCTAATAATTTTGGAAATCGGATTCGCGTTATTTTCGTTCAAATTGCCAGCAGATTGAAATAAACGTAGCACTTTCTATAAACATTATGTAACAAATAATTTCCGTCGTAACCTTGAAGGTCTCAATTTATTCGACGCCGCTGACTCTTGATCTTCACACTACGCTTAAGCTTCAATGAGAAATTTGCCGGATGAGAAATAAGTCGATGGTCTCGGTTAAGGTCCCGTTACGGCAAGATCTAGAACATTAGGTTAAATTTGATGCATAAAAAGTATTGTGTTTCAATTTATTACTAGTGTTTGGTAAACTAAGGGTGTCAGTTCGTTATAGGCCGCATTGCCCAGCCAAATGCAAGCATAATAATGACGTGAATTGATAGGTAATGTTTATACTAACATAAGCTGAAGCTGAAGCTAAAATGAAAGATAAAATATGGAACTTTTCAAGTCATTTTTAAAATCAGTTAAGATTCTTAATCATTGTGAAATTGGGGATAATTTAACTGGTTAGTGACAATTAACAACAGTGGCAATTTTTTATAAAATCGAGAATCTTTAAGATATATATAAAGAAAACGAATACTTTTTAATTTCATGTATTTTAAAAAACAACTAATTTGCTTAAATTAACTAACATCCTGTATGCAACGAATATTTGTTCGGTTTCCACTTTAGCATCTGAATATGGCAATCATCGACCAGAATGTTTCAATTCTATGGAATATTTTATATTGACAAAGTTACTACGTTAATACGAATAATTTGTTTTCTAAAAAGGTACAAGTTTCTTTAGAGGCTGCCTTCTCAATAAAACAGTCTAGCAAAAAAAATAAGGCCATAAGAGATGAACTGTTAAAGTAAATGTCAATCGTAATTTTATTAATAATTTAGATTCAGGAATAGATCAGCCGTAACAGATTAGGTTAATTTTACCAATCACAGACCTTATCGGACGATTACAAAAAATTCATCAATTAGTAACCGAATATAAACAATATTCAAAATTCAACTACGCGGGAACTATAGACATGCACCCTGACAATAGTGATTTTATGCCAGTGATTTCGTACACCTGTAAACCAAATAAATCATTCTTGTAAAATTAGCGCTTTCGTCCAATTTTCCTTTCCTATGTAGTGCTCAATTAACGTGTCAGACAAAATTCAGCAAAATATTTCACTTCCGCCATTATGTAATAACTAATGCGACCACGGTATCATAGAACACTTTCAATACTGTTCGTGGAATGAACTTTCTCAATAAATTGCATTAAATGCATTAATTTTCAGGAAAACTTTCCAACCAGGTTCGATTTTATTCTATTAAGTACATTCCTTCATATTGCAGAATTTTTCTGGGCTTTGATTAGTTTTATTGCTAAATTTAAATTTTTTAACCACTATCCTGTATTCTAAAATACAACAAACTGTAACATGAATGAGAAATTACAGCTGCATGGTACAATCATTCAAAAAACATACACTTCACTTACTAATGCAGAAAAAAATATTAATATTTCAAATATGAATAAATTTTCCTAAGACTTTTGAAGCAAGGTAGAATCTAGTTTGTTGACGGTTAGAGGAGTGAGGACACCTTTCTTTTTGAATAGATGACGGGGAATTAATGACCTCGAATTGAAAATTTAACTACACACCGTGACATGTATGTCCCAGTTTAATAAAAAAAAACTCGTAGTCATTATAAGCAATTATTGACTCCAAATCTGTTAAAAATACTGATGGCCTTTGCGACCTTAAACGCTTCAGCAATCG